GGAAGTCGCTGATTCTGGCTAGTCTGTATAGCCAGCTCACCCCTGGGATCCTGCCTCTCCCTCCTGCACAACTATGCCTGCCTGGGGCTTTTTATTAACAATGGTGCTGAGGATCTTAACTCAAGCTTGTGCCACAAGCTCTTTATCTCCTGAGCCATCTCCCCAGTCCCATCTTTATGTCTTCTTTTGAGAACGATTTTGTTCTATTGTTCTTTTTGTTTGTTTTTGTCTTTTTTGAGACAGCGTCTCCCTGTAGCCCCATCTGGCCTGGAACTCACTGGGAAGACCAGGCTGGCCTCAAACTCACAGAGATCCACCTGCCTCTACCTCCCAAGTACTGGGATTCAAGGCGTGCACCACCATGCCTGGCCCTGTTGTTCATTTTGAAATAGGATAGAGTCTCCCTGTAGCCCCAGCTGGTCTGGAACTCACTATGCAGACCAGGCTGTCTTTGATCTTATAGAAATCCACCCACCTCTGCCTCCCTAATGCTGGGGTTAAAGGCTGTGTGTACTACCACGCTCAACTTAAAATCAGACTAGGAATTTTTTTCAGAGTTCCTTGTATATTCTGGGCATTAGCTCTTGGCATACATATTATTACAAATATTTTCTCCTGTTCTGTAGGCTGTCTCTTCATTCTGTTCAATGTCTCCTTTGCTATTCAGAAGCTTTTTTGCTTTATGTAGTCGCATTTGTCTATTTTTGCTTTCATTTCCTGGGTCCAAAACATCTTTGCCCATCCCAAAGGCCCATAGCCAAGAATGACCTCACACTCCTGATCCTCCTGCCTCCACCTTCCAAATGTTGGATTGCAGGTGTATACCACCACACGAGTTCCTCACTGTTTTCTTCTAGTGGTTTCACAGCTTCAGGTCTTACATTTGAATCTAATAATTTTGTTATTGTAGTTGATTTTTGTTACTGGTGGGAGATAGCTTCACTGTCGCCCATGTGGAGAGCTAGTTTTCCCCACAGTATTTACTGAAAGGACTGTCCCTTCCCCAACACATGTTCTATTCTCAGCACTTCTGTTGAAATCAGTTGGCTGTAGATGCCTGGGTTTCCATTTAGGCTCTCTGTTCTATTCCTTTGGCTTATGCATCTATTTTTAGGTCAATAATATGCTAGCGGGGTTTTCTGTTTTGTTTCTCAGACAAGTTCTCACTATGTAGCAATGGCCTTAAAGTCATAATCCTCTTGCCTCTGCTTCCTTAGGTGCTGAGGCAACCAGGTGGGTTTGATGACTACAGCTTTGTAGTATACTCAGAAACTTCCTGCTCTGTTCTTTTTGCTCCTAATAAGCTTTGGCAATTCCAAGGTTTTTGTGGTCTCGTGTAAATTTTAGAATTATTTTTTCTAGTTCTGTGAAGAATGTTGTGATAGTTTATATTGATTGTCAACTTGACAGTCTGGAATCACCTTGGAGACAACTCTGGCCATCTCTGTGAGGGATTTTCCAGATTACATTAACGGAGGTGGAAAGAGCCACCTTAAATATGGACAGCACTGACCCACGGGCAGGAGTCCTGCACTGCCATAAGCAGAAGAAGCAGGCTGAGCATGAGCACTCATCACTCTGCTTCCTGGCTTCGGATGCAAGGTGAGCAGCCGAATGCCATCCGTTGGAATTTGGACAGGGAGTGCACAGACTGTAAACTGCTTGGTGCATTGGCATGTTAGCAATAGTAACTCTTCCACCCATCAGCAAAGGTTGTTTTTTTCACTTTTTTGCATTTTCTTCAATTACTTTCATGAGTGTTTTATAATCTTTATTATAAGTATCTTTTACACCTTTGGTTAAATTTATTCCTCATTTTTTTGTAACTTTGATAAAAAGGACTGCTTTCCTGATCTATCGCTTGTTGAGGGCATGTAGCAATGCTAACTTTTGAATGCTGATTGTGTATCAGACAATTTTGCCAAATTCATTTAGCTAGTTCTAATAGTCTTTGGTGGGCTTGTGGGGGGTGTTCATGTAAGATCATGCCATCTGCAACAAATGACAGTCCTCTTCTCTTGCAGTTTGCATGCCTTCTTTCCCTTGACTCACTGCTCTGGCCAGGCCTTGCAGCACTGTTAAATGAAAGTGGGGAAAATAGACATCCTTGTCTTGTTCCAGATTTTAGAAAGCTTTCAACTCTTCAACACAATGCTGGCTGTTAGCTGTTTGTATAGGGTTTTTGTTACATTGTCAAGTTCTGGTGTTGTGAGGTGTTTCATCAGAGAAGACCATTCAAAGTTTTGCCAAATGAAAATCTTCTATTAGCTGGCCAGCAATTACACAGGGTGTTGGAACCCAAGTGCAGCCCAAGCCATCTCTAGGGTAAGCTTTTATACAGAAAAACCATAACCAGGGGTGAAAAAGTTTAAGTTCCCAAGCTTACAGGTGGAGAGCCCCCTTAACTATTTCTATTCTATAAAACAACAATTACTATTTTGCAGAAGCAAGCCAAGCATAATCTACAGAAGCCATAAATCTGCAGTTAGCAGGTGCACTCCAGAACATGCTGACCTGTTCCCAGAGACAACCTGGGGTCCTGCTGATGTGTGTTCCCATACCCTGGGCCAACTGCCTGATAATATCAGAGGCTGGAGTCAGCCTAAACTTCAACATGGCATAGCTATGGTCAAGAAGGTGCCATATCACACTGGTATGCCTAAATTGTTTAGGATGTTGAATCTTATGAAATACCTTTTTTTGCATCAAGATGACCATATGATTTTTGTCCTTTGTTCTATTAGTATGACATATATTTATTGATTTTTTATATGCTGAATCATCCTTGTATCCCTGTGATGAATCCCATTTGATTACAAATCATATAGTCCTTTTTTTTTTTTTTTGAGATGGGGTCTCATGTAACCAGACTAACCTGAAAATCTGTATAGTCAAATAAAGCCTTGAACTTCTGACCCCCCGACTCTACCTCACAAGTACTGGTTTTACAGGCATGTATCATCACATCTGGTTTCATGCAGTGCTGGGGATGAAACCTGGGGGGTTACCAGCTAAGCTACATGTGCAGCTCCAAAACAGTCTTTTGATGTACTGTTGGGTTTGGTTTTCTAGTATTTTAGGGATTTTTGTATCTATATTAATGAAAATATTTGCTTACTTTTTTGCTGTGTCATTGTCTGATTTCAGGATTAAAGTACTTCTGTTCTCACAGAATATAAGAATTCCTTCCTCCTGCTTCTTAGATTAACTTAAGAGTTGATATTACAGGGCTGGAGAGATGGCTCAGTGGTTAAGAACACTGTTCTTGCAGAAGACCCAGGTTTGAATCCCAGTACCCACATGGCAGCTAACAACTGTCCGTAACTCCAGTCCCAGGGGATCTGACAGCCTCTTCTGTCCTCCTCAGGCATTGCACAACACAGGTGCACTCACCTACATGCAGGCAATATACACATACCCATAAAAACAATAAATATTTTTTTAAAAAAGAATTATTACCCCTGAAATATTTTTCAGCAAGGAAGCCATCTGCTCCTGACATTTCTGGTGGAGGCTCTTTGTCATTCAGTCTCATCAGGGGTATCGCTCTGTGAAGGGCTCTTCCCTTCATAATTTAGTCTTCCTAAAGTGTGTAGGTTTAGAAATTTGTCAACACACAGCTGTTCACAATAATCTCTAATGAGCTAGTTGTGGTGGCTGCATGGCCTGTAACCTCAGGTTTTAGGAGCTGGAAGAATAAGTTTAAGAGTTTAAGGCCTGCCTGGGTTACGTATCAAAGCCTGTATTGGGAGGAAAGAAACCCCACAAAAATTGTAATCATTTGCATTTATGCGACATCACTTGTAATATTTCTCTTCTCATGCCTGATTTTTTTTAAAAAAATTAATTTATTTTTATTTTATGTGTATGAGTGTTGTGCCTGTAAGAGTGTAAGTGCACCCATGTTGTGCAGTGCTCACGGAGGACAGAAGCGGGCGGCAGATCCCCTGGAACTGGAGTTACAAATGGTTGTTAGCCGCCATGTGGGTACTGGGAATCAAACCCAGGTCTTCTGCTCTTAACCACTGAGCCATCTCCAGCTCCTCATGCCTGATTTCTAAGTCTACTTTTCTTAGTTAACAGTTTATTTTTTCACACATACGTGGTAGTATCCCTTTGCTGCCTGGCCTAACCCAGTTTTAGCCTTTTATGCTGCAGGCATTGGCCTGGCAGTAGGAGTCATAGGACTTTGCACAGCACTGAGTTTGGGGTGGGGGGTTCATCTGGGCTAGTACTTGGTTCCATGTCTACAGCCTGGATGTAATGCTCTCTCCTTCCCCAAGTGGGAAGGTCCTTCCTCCACCTGGTGTTGAGGGAGGGGTGTACTGTGGGCAACTCCTCCCTTCCTGCTTCCTTCAATGGGTCTTCTGTTACACTAACAGCAGGCACTACCGTCTCTCATGGTTTCCTCAGCTCTGGAGACATTTTGGTGTGAGAATTGCTGTTCAATCTGGTGTACTTAAGGGGAGAGACCACCAGAGAATCATAGCTACCAACCTGCTCCACCTCCCTGAACTTCATACCTTTAAAAAACTGAGATTTGGCCAGATGCAGCAGGGAATGCCTTTAATCCCAGCAGGTGGGATGTGAATTCAAGGCCAGCCTGGTCTACATAGTGAGTTCTAGGCCAGCTGGGGCTACAGGGAGACCCTGTCTCAAAAAAAAAAAAAAAAAAAAAACCCACCAAAAACTGAAATTCATTTAGTTTTAAAGATGAGGTATACTTCACAAACTTAAAAGGAGTCAACTTAGTTAGCTAATTAGACTTAAGAACAAAGGGGTTTTTTTTTGGTCTTTTTGAGACAGGGTCTCCCCATAGCCCCAGCTGTCCTGGAACTCACTTCATAGACCAGTCTGGCCTTGAACTTACAGAGATCCGCCTGCCTCCCGAGTGCTGGGATTAAAGGCGTGCACCACCACGCCCAATGAACAAAGGGTTCTTAAAAGACCCTATTTTACATACTGATTTCTAGTAAAAATGAACACTGATACAACATGTATATTGTTAAACTTCATTTATTATTTAAATATATTCATTTTAAAAGAGAAGAACTACACAGCAAATATTTGACATAAATGTAAACATGCATGTCTACATCATAATTAAGCAAAATGAATTTTTAGGCACAAGATTTTAATACCATTAAAGATGGAGACAATGAATCTAATACAGAAATAACCAACAACAAACACATTTCCTAACACTTCAGTTGGTCTTGTCTTCCAAGCTACTGATTAAGGCCTGAGTTTCAGAAATTCTATGTTCCTTGCCAAATGGAAATATCCAGTTTGACTGTACCTACTATATATCTATAAAACAGACAAATAATTCTCTTTCAAAATGTTAATAAATATCACACACACACATAGAAACATACACAAACACAAAGAGCAAGGGGGGGAGAGAGAGAGAGCTAAGTCAGACTCTTGAACAGCAAAGTAAGGACTTCGAATTTTCAAGTTTTCCTACCACTGACACACACCACCCACAGAGAAAATGATTCTGCTATAGAAATAAAATAACTAGTGGCATTATTACAAATCTCTAGTTTATCTGTATTGCATTTTCCCGAGTCATGTTTTTATAAAGCTTCCCTCTGTAGACTGTCTTTCTACCTCACCTAAATGGCCCAGAGTACATTGCATAGAGCAAAGAAAGGCAATATAAGAATTCAGTAGAGATCTGCATGGATATTTTCAGTTCTGTCTAAATGCCTGGAATGTTTCCCCTATGCCTGTCAATCCTTGGTACTTGACTGGTTAGTTTTCTTAGCCTCCTCCCCAGACTAGAAGCACCTGCATGTCTAGTTTCGTGACAACAGTGCCCACTTTTGAGGAACTTATAATACCAACTAAAGTTCAAGCAAGAAAAAGGACATGTAGGTACACCAGGGCATGCCCCACAGGCTGCAACAAAGAAAGAGCCCCTGAAAATGGTGCCTACAGAAGCTTGGGAAGAGTTTGGAGTGGGCAGAGAGAAGCAGGAGAGAGGGCGAAGGCACAGAGGCAGGAAAGAAAAGTCTTTTGGTTGGCACAAAGATGCTCATGAATATCAACTGTGAGGCACATTCCAGACTTCCAAAACTAGCTCCCTTACTCTGGTGGGGATACAGGTAGAATCACCAAAAGATCTGTGCAGAGAGCACACACTGGAGCCTTACTGGAGGACATGTGCTGCTGGGAAGACAGGCAATGGGAGGGGCTGAGGCTCAGAAGGCTTGACTCACCAAGCTCAGTGCCACACACCAGTACTTCCTATACTTCTTATATAATAACAAACTAACCAACATGACAAAAACCATAGTATCTGTCTATACAAATCAAAGCTTTTGGGGAAAAAAGAGGCCAAGAGGAGACTTAAATAGATAACTTAAGTTCAAGTTCCTAGAACCTGCCCCATTTTAAGCAGTGAAACAATTCCATTCCCATACTCAGTAACGATTCACTTCTCCCAATCATGACCTTCACCTTCCCTGAGCTATCATTACCAAAGAATTATAAAGCAATTATCAGTTCACAACACAAGGGTTCCTACTTGCCACTGGATCCACTGAGCCTCAGTGTGCTAAGACACTATCAGAAGGTACCAGTGCACACCTGGCACCTGCACTTGGGCAGAGTGTGGATGCACAGTTGGACATGGCTTCTGCCCCATCTCAGCTCACTAGAGTCTCTGTGTAGATGAAACAGTTAACCTGCATGGTACAACACTCATCAAGGCCCCCACCATGGATCATCCATTTCCTCTCTGGGTCCAGACTGCCTCCCTCCTCCACTAACTCAGGAGAGAAAGGCTATGTGAGTGGAGGGACCAAGGAAGGAAAACCACTATTAATGTCTTAAAGCAAAGGAGACAGAAATTTCCTAAGACACAGTCATTCAATCTACAGAGAGGGGCAATGTCATACAAATCATGGGACAAGCCATCACACACTCAACATGGAACATTTACTAGTGACCAGTTTGCAGCAGTAACATTTGTTTGGAAACGAACTGCGTATTACAGGCAATCTTGTGACTCTACTGTTTCTATAAAAAGTACAAACCAGTCTGGGAGTCAGGCACAAACAATGGCACACAGCTTAACAAAGAACGTGCTCTCTCCATCCTGCAGAACTCCTATCCAGATTCTCATTTTGGGAAACTTGCTGCTGCTTCATTAGCTCAGAGAGGTTCTTTTACCATATCCCTCTTCCACTCCTACCCACTGCTAAAATCTGCCAAATAAAGATGGCCTAGGATGGACCCACATGGACAAAAAGCCTCAGCCTGGCTGAGTCACGCACATCAGCACAGAGGCTGCTGCTCTGACCTGCTCACTCAGTAGGGACTGCCTGACTCAATTCAGGCTGAGCCTGCTCAACATTTTTTGTCTTTTAGAATCCAATAAAAGTGCCAATGTATAGTTAAAAGCTCCATGTATAAGAATCTGATTCCAGTAAGTGTAATTCAAAGGAGGAAGTAGTATGAGAGCTTGACCTGAGGGCAGGAGACTGGCCAGGCCCAGATGTGTGCTTCCCTTTCCTAATTGTGAGGGGCTGAGCTACTGGATCTCCAGGGTCCTACTTAGGCTGACCCAAAGACTTGCTATGGTTTATTTCTACAGATTTGTCAAACTGGGTCATATAAAACTTCTTTACCATTTTGTGTCAAAATGTACAGCGGTTTTAACAGATCTCTATGATGCAGTGTGAGGATCCCCTTTCCTGCCTTACCCCTCAAAGACTCATTTCACTGGTGCAGACACTCGGTCAAACTGATGGCTAAATTACTAGCTTAGTGAAGACATGGTCTTCGAGTGACCTAGACCAGGGTGCATTGGTCTGTTTTTCATTAATAATGTTAGCCAAATAAAAATATAGTTGTGTTAGTTCTTCTATAGATCTACTTAAACTCTGAAACAAGATTGCTTATAAATTACATGAGAAAATTACCCATCACCACTAAGCTAGAGACTGACTAGCTGAGCATTTCCAGGCCTCAACTCCTTCTTCAGGCTCTGATCCACAACAGTCTCCTGTGGCAATGGACTCCACACGAAGTAGCCGGGTCTTGCAGCATATTTGTGCACCAGAAAGCAGATTTCAGAAGATCCGGCTAGTCATCACTGTCGCTGCCAGACTCACTTAACTGCAAGTCATTTCCTACAGAAAGAAAACAAAATCACACCAAGAGCACAGCAATTACAAATGACTTGATTGTCTCCTCTGCCTACGGGAGGTCTGTGACTGCCTCCACTTCTCTGCTCTTCTGTGGAGAGGGGAGCTCCCAATACTTTAACAGGCTTTCATTCTTCCTTCACTTCAAATATGAAGATGTCCTTAAAATCTATTGGTTGACTGCTCAGTTATCACATCATAGTAAAACCTAATCCAACCTAATTGGAGGAAAACCAACCTGGCTCATTGAAAAGGCTGATGCAGTCAACATTTTAAAAGAAATGCTATTTTGGTAAGTGCAAAGCACAGCAGTACTCATTAGGACAGACTGAGGGAGGAGCAGCTAGACAGTTTTAAATGTGTTAATAGCAAGAAAATATACATAAAAGAACAGAAATATCATCTGGCAGAATTGTCCATATTAAGTTGCCTTATAAAAGCTAAGTGGAACTGGGCGAGGTGGCACTTGCCTTTAATTCCAGCACTCAGGAGGCAGAGGCAGGTGGATCTCTGTGAGTTCAAGGCCAGCCTGGTCTACATAGTGAGTTCCAGGACAGCTGGGGCTACAGGGAGACCCTGTCTCAAAAAGACAAAACAAACCAACAAAAAACCAAAACACAAGCTGAGTACTGTTTACAGTAGCAGAATATAAATCCAGTACCCCATCTGTCCAGGACATTCCTATTATTATTTAATTTTTATTTTATGTATATGAATGTATGTCTGCATGTATATAAGTGCACATATATATGCAATACCTATGGAGGTCAGAAGAGGGTGTTGAATCCCCTGGAACTGGAGTTACAGATGGTTGTTAGCCAGCATGCAGGTCCTAGGAATTGAACCCTGGTCCTCTGCAGGAGCAGCAGTACTTTTAACTGCTGTGCCATCTCTCCAGCCCTAGCATTCACAGTATTTTAAACCTCAAATCTGAACTAATGAGCTTTAGAATGCTCCAGATTCTTATTTGATATGTAGTATCTAGAATTTTAAGAGGACTCAACATTTCAAGTTAACATAACAGAAACATTTAAAAAAATATTTTATGTGTATGAGTGTACTGCCTGCATGTATGTAAGTTCACCCATATGCAATGCCTGTGGAGATCAGAAGAAGGCATTGGATTCCCTGGAACTGGAGTTAGGACTGTTGTTAGCCACCATGTGGGTGCTAGGAATCAAACTTCTGCACGAGTAGCTGGGGCTCTTAATGGCTGAGCCCCTTTTCAGTCCCACAGAAACATTTATTAAAGAACCCCAGCTGATGTCAGTTGGACTACTAAAAAGTGAAAGTGATGCTCCAGATTTCTGGAATGCTAACATCTAGACCAGCTTTCTCAAAATCTGCTGAGGACTCTGTCCCTGGAAACCTTTCAGGGAATCCAGCCCCCAAGGACTTCCTTTTCTGATGGTGTGGGCCAGATTTCCCCCATACCTGCTGAGACGATTTGGGTTAACAAGTGGAGGGGGCAGGCACTGGCACCTAGTGGGTGGACGTCAGGAATGTGCCATTATACTCCACAATGCACAAGATGATCCTTCAACAAGGAATTATCCAGCCTAGAATGTTCAGAGTGCTGAGGCTGAAAGTATCTGCCTGGCCTCCAGTGCAGGGTTGAGCAGCTGCCACCACTGCCAAGCCTTTCATCTTCCTCAAAGGAAGGTATACTGGGAAGAATGTTTACCAACCAGGGTTCCAGAGAGAATGAATCACCCTCCCACTTCCTCTGAGACAAGGCCAAGTATATTCTGGCTTTCCTTCAGTGTACCTTATTATCATCCGTATGAAAAACCACCCATGTATGACAGTGTCCCTTTTTTTTCTTTGAAGGCTAGAAGGTATCCAAAAGAGGCAAGAGATCATTTTTTTAAAAAGGCCTGGAGGTAGGTGGCAGTGTGGGTAGGCCACGTCTTAGACCTGGTACATGCTAAAACAAACAGCCCACATGCTAAAGTTTCAGCATTTTGAAGAAGTCATAAAACAAACCTGTGACAGTGGAGAAATTGGAGGGGAGGGACACTTAGCGTTTTGAGCCTTTTTTTTCTTTTGGTCTTTTTGAGACAGGGTCTCCCTGTAGCCCCAGCTGTCCTGGAACTCACTATGTAGACCAGAGACCAGGCTGGCCTTGAACTCACAGAGATCCGCCTGTCTCTGCCTCCGGAGTGCTGGGATCAAAGGCGTGCGTCACCACGCCCGGCAGTGTTTTGAGCCTCTTATTCATCCTTAGGAAGATCCTTTCCTGGGCCTTGAATACCTGCAGGTTTCTAGGTTCTAAAAGGAGGTAACAGAAGATGCACCTGACCCTCCCTATCTCAACCACCACAGAGGGCACTTACTGAGTGTGTTAATGAGCTGCGTGCTTCCTTGCGGCCGGCTGGTTCCATTGGCCACCGCAGGCCGGCTGTTGTAGGACTGCTGATGTGAAGGCTGGGAAGGAGAGGAGGGGGCAATGTCCTCACCGCCACTGCTGGAGCTGTCATCGTCACTTCCGGAGGAGCTCTCAGAGTCTGAGGAGCTGCTCCCACTGCTGCTGCTCATCTGCTCAATAATGTCCACCTCAGCCCTCAGCTCTGGAACATGACAGAGCATGGTCAGCACAGCCACTGCTCTGAGGCAGTGAGGAAGCTTCTATAAACAGTGAACTCGCAAGACCAATAGCAGTAAGGAATGATTTCAAGCCGCCTCTTGCTTTTTTTTTTTTCTTTTTGGTCTTTTTGAGACAGGGTCTCCCTGTAGCCCCAGCTGACCTAGAACTCACTATGTAGACCAGGCTGGCCTTGAACTCACAGAGATCCACCTGCCTCTGCCTCCCAAGTGCTGACACTACAGGCGTGTGCCACAACGCCCAGCTATACTGAATTCCTCCAAAATAAACACAAGGCAGACTAGTTTCAGAATGGCTGTTCAGTGTAGGAAACATACCAGGGCTATTAATTTATTTAAATAAACAAAGATTATGATTTGGGTGTGGAACACACCTGTGATCTCAGTACTGAAGTAATGGAGATAGGAAGATCTTGAGTTCAAAGCTAGTCTGGCCTACAGAGTGAGACCCTGTCCCAAACACAAACAAGCAAGTAAACATACAAACAAACATGAATTATAGGACAAAAGCCCAAATCGAGAAATATTATGCTAAAAAAAAATAGAGAAATATCTGACTAGGAATTGAAGTCTGAGTGCTAGTTTTGATCTCCCTTCTGTTTTCTTTTCTTGCTGCTGTGATAAAATACTCTGACAAAGGCAGCTTAAGGATTTGTTTTGGCTCACAGGTCCAGGTATAGCTTGTTACTGCAGGCAACTCACAACAGAAGCTTGAGACAGTGGGTCACATGCACTCACAGTCAGAAAGCAGAGAGGGATGAACAGCTTTCTTCTGTTTATTCAGTGCGGGGCCCAAACCCAGGGAATGGTGCCACCTACTTGTAGCCTGGGTCTTCACATCTCAATTAATCTCTAGATAACCCCTCACAGGCATGTCTGGAGGCTTGTCTCCTAGGCCGATTTCAAGTCCTGTCAAGTTGACGACACTAGACATCAAAACTTCTAACCAGCAGCGAGACCCAGGTGTTGTCAATGGGTTTTCTAAGCCACTGCGGAAAAAAAGAAGGCCAGATAGCCTCCAAGTCCTTCCTAATACCCACTGAGACTTGCAGGAAGGTCCTTGTCGAGCAAGGACAAAGGGTGAAAGGCCAGTCCTCCTCTTGACTCTTACATATTCGACCCATGGCCATGTTTGTCAGGTTCTGCAATCATGGATGTACAGTAGGGGAGGAAAAACATTTTCTCCCTAGCCATTTCAAAGTCCCTGAACACATGAGCGGGACATCAAGAAAGATGAGAGATGTTCTGTCCCCAACACCACATGGCCTTAAACAGCTGACTCCTTTTCAGCACAACTGGCAACAGGTAACCAGTTTTGGTCTAATTCCTAATCAACTACAGTGGAAACTTCCACAATAGCATTCTAGAATCCAGGGAAAAAAGAAATTAAGAGGTGGAGCAGTTGTGCACAGCACAAAGTGACTTTAAAGCAGCATTTCTACAAGGTGGGAAAGGCAAACTTCTCAGGAACAATTATTTTCATTTTTTCCTGTCTTCTACTATTACAGATTACATTTCATTCCATAAAAGTGAAATAGGACACTTAGATTCCTAACTTCTGAGAGTCTAGAACCAGAACCTTCCACTGTATAGGGAGAAAGCCACGAAAGTTTGCAGTAGAGGGGCCCAAGACAGACCTCTAGGTCCTGGGCCTGATTTCACGTCCACTAGTCTCATGGTGTCTTTCAGATTTACAAACTTGGTATCAGGAAAAAAAAAGATCCTGACGTTTTAGGTGTTCCTTTAATAAAGCTCCTAAACTGGCGCATACTAATTAGCAGATGAGCTTGGAAACAACACACTTAGAATCCTTGTTATCAAAGCCTAAAGCCCTGGGAGCTTTAGCTGACCAAGTCATAAGCTTCTATGAAGGATGCTGCCAAGACAGTCACAACTCAAGTCACCATTCACAGGCTCATTCTTGTCAAATGACAAGGTAGAAGTCTCTGCCTTCACCAGCTCTAGAGTAGTGAACTCTAACGAAACATTGCAAGGGCAGAGAGAGTGCATGCTGTCACGTCAATATGGCAGGTTTGTGACGTCCACAAGAACACTGCCACCCTACTCCACACCGCTGACACAGCTCTAGAAAATGTTCTCTACCTCTTTTGATGTCATCCAGCTGAGGCTCAGGAGAGGGGTTATCCTTCAAGGGAGAAGTTTTGGGTCCAGCTGGAGGCTTCGTTGGGGCTCTGAACGGCATGGGTGGTGGAGGCGGTGGCAGCTGTGGAGGCTGGGATGGCTGTGGGGGACGAGCAGGCTGCTGTTCCATTCGGGCTTGGATTTTACTGCTCCCCTCAGCTCTGAAACAGACATTAAGTCAGAGAGGCAAAAGCAGTGCTTATCCAGTTCCCAAATGGACGAAGCACAAGGGACACCTCTACAGAACCTGATGTTCTTTCAGAGGACTGCAAAATCTGATCTTTGGAATTTTACCATGAGAACGCATTCAACATCCCTGTTCAACTGCATTCCAATATTGGATCACATAGGTACCTGAGAGAAAGAGACAATAAAACACTGCTCTCAAGGAGCTCGCGTTTGTCTTTTTATTTTCTTTTTGTTTTTTCCTTCTGAGACAGGGTCTAGCTATGCAGCCCAGAATGGCCTAGAACTTAAGATCCTGCCTCAGCCCTTCAAGCATTGAGATTACAAGTGTATGCCAGGACATTCAAGAGAGCTCACACTTTACAGCAAGGAGCGAAAACACAGGACACAATGTGATTCAATGTTTTACCAGAAAGCATGACCATCTGACAAATGCAAAATAAAATTTAGCTTTTAATTTTATTTTATGTGCATGAGTTAAGTTATGCCTGCATGCGTGTAAGTGCACCCTTGTCGTGCAATGCCTGAGGAGGTCAGAAGAAGGTGTTGGATTCCCCTGGAACTAGAGTTATGGATGGTTGTTAGCCGCATTGTGGGTACTGGGAATCGAACCAGGGTCCTCTGCAAGAGTAGTCAGTGCTCTTAACTGCTGAGCCATCTTTTCAGCCCCAAAATAAAGTACACTGGCCAGCTTTCAAATTCTCCCATTGTGTATTTATTATCAGAGTTCTACCTCAAAGTGAGACAATTTTTTGTTGTTGTTAGTCTTTTTCAGACAGGGTCTCCCTGTAGCCCCAGCTGGCCTGGAACTTGCTATGTAGACCAGGCTGGCCTCAAACTCAAGGAGATCCACCTGCTTCTGCCTCCTAAGTACTGGGATTAAAGGCATGCACCACCACGTCCTGTCCCAAAGTGAGATAATTTTATTCATTAACAATTTCTCTTATAAATGGACTAGCCAGTATTTTTTAACTTCAATATGCACAATGCCCCTAGAGGTCTCTGCAGATTCTGAAGGCATAAAAATACCCAAGAGGCATGCTGCTAAGTCCTCAGATGACAGAGCAGCAAGGGAACAGATCGTCAGCAAGGGAACAGATCGTCACCAGGTATCAGAGTAACAGTACCAGCTGGTTCACTGTGGGCCTTGATGCCATTAACATAGGAGCAGGACAGAAACATGAGCATTGGGGCACCCTGCCTGGGGAGGGGCCCTCAGCCTAGCAGCCAAATTAAGTAAATCAAACGTTCTTAAAATGCTCAGTCTCTTCATTTGCCACCCTATCTCCAAAGAGAACACCACCTTTCCAAAAAATCACTAGAAAAGATTAAATAATACACATAAAGTATCCAGCATAGCCCATGATAACCTCTCAACAAATGGTAGTTTTCCTTTCTAGTGAAATGAGTGAAGAAAAATGGCTTGAGGAAGCATAAGCAGACAAACAGGTTGTAATAATCTCTTAAAACTTACTTAGTAGAGTTGGGATTTAGCTTAACGATAAAAGCACTTGCCTAGCATGGCACAAAGCCCTGGATTTGATTCCCAGAGCTTATCCTTCCTCCAATAACCTTAATTCCTAACATAATAATTGCTGTATTACCTTGTATTTATATAATGAATTAACTTTCAAATAAACTCTAGCTTCAAATTAGACACTGAAGAGCTGCTGAACAAACTGTTATTAAGAAAGAAAGTTCTAAAGAAGTTTCTTTTTGCAACAGATAGATACTATTACAGAATTTTACAACTGGTCACACACAGAAAATAAGTGTCTGTGAGAAGCCCAGCCCTAAGGGACACATCTACACTGGACCTCTACACTTAAGACTCATGGAACATAGTAAAACAGGGGGTAGAGAGAAAACTAATACATCCTTCAACTCTCATTAGTGAAGCTTTCTCATGCAACAGAGGGCCGTGCACACAGAAGGCCACAACTAGTCAAAGTGCAGAGAATAAGAGACTGCAGAGTTCGTGTCTTGGATAGGGTTCATATTAAATCTCATCTACCCAGGGCTCAAGGACCACTGTAGAAGAGGGGGCGGAAAGATTGTAAGAGCCAGGGGTGATACATGACCATAAGGAAACAATCTAGGCTTCCAGGAACTTGCTCATATGAACTTACAGCAATAGTGACAGCATGCACAAGACCCATGCAAACTCGGACAAAAACCAGCATAGAGCTGGGAAATGGGCAGGAGGCCCCAAGTTTAGCCAAGGAACTATTGGCAGCTAGCTGATCACTGCTGGGTTGAGGGAGAGTTGATCTTTATGGGAGTGGCTCTAGGTAGGCTGACCAGGCTCCAGTGGATGAACTCACATAGGGTACACCAACTTGACTTGATAGGCCTTAACATATAGAACAAAATGCATGAAATCTGGTGGGTGGGCTATGGGGAGGGTACAGACAGGGGAGGGAGCCTAAATATAATTAATATGTATTGCAGAGATATGCAAAATTTCAATACAAAATACACACTGAAAATATATATTCATATATATAAAATAAAAACCAATCAATCAAAGGGCTGGAGAGATGGCTCAATGGTTAAGAGCACTGGCTGTTTTTCCAGAGGAACCAGGTTCGATTCCCAGCACCCACATGGTGGTTAACAACTGTCCATAACTCCAGTTCCAGGGAATCTGACACCCTCTTCTGGCCCCACAGGCTGTGTACACATAGGTGCACTTCACATACATGCAGACAAGATACTTACACATATAAAATTAAATTAAACATTTTGTTTGTTTTTGTTTTTTGAGACAGGGTCTCCCAATAGCCCCAGCTGACCTGGAACTCACTATGTAGACCAGGCTGGCCTTGAACTCACAAAGATCCGCCTGCCTCTGCCTCCTGAGTGAAATTAAACATTTTTTAAATGAATAAAAAAATATATTTAAACCAGACCTCATGACTCACCCCTTTAATTCCAGCATTTGGGAGGCAAAAGCAGAGAGATCTCTGTGAGATCAAGGGTTAGTCTGTTCTACATAGCAAATTCTAGGCCAGCTGGGGCTACCGTCTCAAAAAGTCAAAAAAAAATTTTAGGAAAGTTTACTATTCAAAATGTTAGGAAACATTTTTTATTGTTTTTAATTACATGTTATTTATTTATGTGTGTGGGGTGTGAGTGCCATGGCATGCATGTAGAGATTAGAAGACAACTTAGGGGAGCTGACTCACTCCTCCTACCATACAGGTGTTAGGGACTGAACTCAGGTTGTCAGGCCTGGCAGCAAATGCCTTTATCTCCTGAGACTGGGTTTCATGTAACCAAGACTGGCCTCAAACTCACTATGTAGCTGAGGATGGCCTTGAACTCTTGATCCCACTGCCTCTATCTCTCAAACGCTGGAACTATAGGCGTGGGCCATCATGCCTACTTGGTAAAGTTAATTTTACATTACAAGCATATTAAAAAGCAGTGTTTGACTTTAATAAAATTATCCAATTATTCTTCCATAATATTAAGCCTATGTGTATATAAAGCTAATCCCTTACTTAGTAGTACATCAGCAATCATGAGATTGATAACATTGGTTCAATTTGAAGTACCTTGCTTTCACCAATGACTTCCATGTTTTAGCTCTTAAAAGTATTATTTCCTTTTACAGTACTTGAGGAAAACATCCATTTTATTGATTTGTTTGAGAAGACAGGAGTGGCCAATATTACTGATCGCAAACTAGGAACAAGCCAACATTCACACCCTTACAAAACAGGAATAAATGACATAAAGGCATTTAAAGAAGAAGTAAGGAATGGACCGCCTACTTTCATGGATGAGACCCTAGGTTTGATCCCCATATGGCAATAGAGGAGGAAGACAGACACATAAATCGTCTCATACCTGGTTTTCTTGACCTGAATGCTGCTGCTGAGTTTCTCAAGCACGTATTCACCAGTGTCATGATTAATAATGAGCACACAGTCTTTCTGATAAGGCCGCTTGTTCCCCTTGAACACAGTCATTGGTGGTGTGGACCCCTGTTAATGGCAAAAGTATAAGATGTTCACTCTAAACACACCAGTTACGAATAAACCACCTTTCAAAGGACAACTGTCTCATTAAATCATTCATCGGAGATACTCAGGAAGAACAAAGAACTGATTTCTATCTTAACTCCTGGCTTCCCAGGCAAAACTAAAGGAAGTTACAATACAACATGCATCTGGTTCTTAGTAATCAAAAAATATAGTATAAAATTTTTATTACACATTTTTAAGGGTCTGGGAAAATATTTTAAAGAATAGTAAAACATGAACTGAGAAACATATTATACTAAACAGAGCTATCACCATGACTCATTTAGAGTAGTGACTGATTTCTATATTTCTTTGCAACTGGAGAGTCCAGGGCTTCCCCTCATGCAAACAACCAGCATTTCCATTTTAAAATATTTTATTATTTTTATTTTATGTGTATGAATGCATTGCCTATACATATGTAAGTGCACCTGTTCATGCAATACCCATGGAGGTCAGCAAAGAGTCGGATCCCCTGGAACTGCAGTTATAGATGGTTGTTAGTCACCATGTAGGTGCTGGGAATTGAACCCAAGTCCTCTGCAAGAGCAGCCAGTGCTCTCAACCCCTGAGGCATCTCTCCAGCCCCAAGAGTGCATTTTCTAAGGGCAGCCCATTATGTATCCAGTGTCCTGGGGAGCAGATAGTCACCCTAGTCATCCGCCTAAGCCCTTCAACAGCTCCCGTGTTGCTCTCAGGTCAAAGAACATCTTTAAGCCACTTATTCGGCTCCATCACACATCCCCAGGCTCTGTGGTCTTCAGAGAGCAAGAAGCTCTTGTTCTGTCTCAGGGCTTTAACTAGACTTTCTTCCGTCTGCTGTATTTTCACCCTCCATCTAAATTACTCAACCTTTAGATAAGGTCAATCCTTCTCTGCCCAGCGTGGTGGCACATGCCTTTGATCCCAGCACTCGGGAGGCAGAGGCAGGCGGATCTTGGCAAACGGATCTTAGAGTTCAGCCTGGTCTATATAGAGAGTTCTGGGGGCAGCTGGGGCTACAGGGAGACCCTGTCTCAAAAAGACCAAAGAGAGAGAGAGAGAGATCGATCCTTCTCTGATTCTGAGCCATCTCTCCAGCCCCAGGATATATTTTCTTGCTCGGAATAAAAATCTGCTTGGCTCTTCGACTCATTTGTACAATAAAAATTTAGGTGTGAAAGGGACCCTAGGGACCATTTACTTAACTCTTAGGTCCAGTGGGAGATGATATAACTTGGCCATGGGCAACAACACACAATAAAACAGCAGTTTGAATGGACAGAGCATTTTTTCCTCAGCTCAAGGGTTTCTAGGTCTCCCTGCACACAGACTCTTCATTTTCTCACAGAGGGCCTACTATGTTTCTGAGCTGTGAAATGTGCTAAGAACATTTTTATTTTTTTTAAATTTTCTTTCTTTTTGCACGTGTATGCCTGTGGCATATATATGTTCGTTCACTTGTGAGCAAGTGTGGGAGCACATGAAGGCCTGAAGCTGACACTGGACATCTTCCTTGGGTGCTCTTCATTTTATTTATTGAGGGAGAGTCTCTTGCTGAACCCAGAGTTCACTGATTCTTAATAGTCCAGCTAGCCAGCTTGCCCCAGGAATACCCTCTCTGTGTGTCTGGAGATGTGGGATTACAGGCAGCCACCATGCCTGTCTGGTTGTTTACATGGTTCTGGACATACAAACTCTGGTCCTCATGCTTGTACAGGAAGTACTTTATCCTCCAAGCTATCCCTCCAGCCCAATGTATTAAGCAAACTCAAGTCAAAGGTTTCTTTCCTTTGGTGGGGGTGGGGCAGTACTAGGGATTGAACCAAAGGCCTCATGAAAGGCAAGCCCTCTACCACTGAGCTACAGCCCCAGTGCTTGTGTTAAAAACACCTTGTGTAGTCTTTAGGGTTTTGTGATCAAAGTGTTACCCCCAAGAGACCCTCACAAACTCTTTTCTTCCAAGTCCCTGGTGAAACTTTTAGCTCAGCTATTCATCCCCCAATCAGCTGAATGCTCCAAACTGTCAGTTCCTACCTGAGACTATCAGCCTGCACTCAATCCATTACAGATACAAAGAGTCACTCTGGCTCCTGCCTATCTTCTGCCTACTCCATGTTCAGGAGCTAATGACTACACTGGGCATGTAGGGCCTTTCTCTTCAGAGTAGCTTGGGAGAAAAGCTAAGCACGTCTACCGGGGGGCTAGCTGTCCAGATACAATCTTGCCTACTCTACTGCATACAGGGGAAAGGGAAGCTCAGTGACAATGATAGAGATCAAGCTCCTAAGAAACATGAGACCATCTACCCCAGTCCCCCAAATTCCTATTTTACTTCTGTTGGCACTTTAAAAATCTAAAAAAAATTTAAGTAGGAAATTCAAATTATAATAATATACACCCAAGGATTCATGACATTAAACCAACAACAATGGAAAAAACTTACAGGTATATGTGGTAGTGTAATTGTGACTTCATCTCCTTTGCCAACCTGGAGTTCTCCTTCACAAGAAGTATCTATAGATGCTGGCTTAAAATCATCTAAAAGGAAAGAAAGAGCATTTCCCACCAGGTGACCCTGGGCATTTTCGTTTCAAAATTAAAATTCTATTACATAAATAAAAATGACTGAGAATTCTTCTCTGTGTGTATGTTTGTGTATGTATGTATGTTCCTGTGTGTGCAAAGGTACATGTATATGCAAATGCACACACATGCATAAAGTATCTATGGAGGACGACGTTGGGCACTGTTTCTTAGGTTACTGTCCATTTGGTTCTTGGAGATGAGCTCTTTCATCTGCCTGGAGCTCACTGATTAGGCTAGGCTGGATGGCCAATAAGTCTCCAGGGATCCTATCTCAAGCTCCCCAGCACTGGGATTACAGCTGTTTTCTAAGCCACACCTGCCATTTTCACACGGGTTCTGGGGATCCAATTAAGGTTCTCATGCGTACATAGCAAGCACTTCACAATTAAAAACTATTTCACCATAGAAAACGTCATATATACAAAAGCTGACAGAATAGTATAAAGGTCCCCAAATACCCTCATGCAATTTAATAATTACCAACTGAGGAACACCTCTACATACTTTTCCTTCAACCACACTTCGTTATTTTAAGGCAGGGAGCTAGGACTCACATACCATTTTATTAGCTGGAAATAATCCCTTCTCCCAAGTGACAGATAAAAATTACTGTCTCATCATCTGTAATAAGGTATCTAGAATTGGGGGCATAAAAGCAACGCGGCAAAGATTCTGGACTGTAAACTCTATAGGCCACAGCATCAAAAATGTTGATTTCATTTTGCACAGAAACTACCAAAAAGTAGAACCTCCACATTCAAGTTCCACAGTTTTGAAAGTGATGTTCCTGCAGACGTTCAAAAACAGACAGTTCAGCTCCAGGTATTATCCTGCTGGGATTTACAACTACATTGACAGAACAACAGGAACAGCCATAGTAACACATGCTTGCCCGGAACTGCAGGCCAGGTGAAGAATCTCATTTAAATTCACAAGGCCCTTCTGAGGAGCAAAATAAATTACTAAATGCAGGTAATGATGGTCTTACTACTTTCCCAATAGTCTTTGAAAATGCTAGACCTGCTGTCTGTGGGAAGCACAGAAATGGCCCAATTAGTGGTCACACAAAGATGGAACTTCAGTATCTAACACCCTCTTCCTATGTGTTGAGTCACATCTATTAGTTCCTATGATAAAACAAGTCTCAACCAGTGTTAATGCCACCGGAAACCAGAAGCCCATGAGTCACAGAGGGATGCTCAGTCAATTAAATCTTTACCCAGGATACACAGTGGAAATGCCCCTCTGAGTCTATAATCATCTAAAAAATGCTCAACATAATGACTATTTATTTCCACATTCCTTATGCTGCTGTCTTGTTTCCAAACATAGACTAAGTTTTAACTTATGCCAGGGTCACAAGCTCTAATTTTATTCCTCACCCACAAGTGACTTGGTCCTGAAGTCGGTGGTATAGGGGACCTCAAGACATGGGTGATGGCTGACATGGTGGCTGAGGGAGGCTGAGGCAGGAGGACAGCTCCATGTTCAGGGCTAGTCTGGGCTTACATAGTTCTAGGCTAGCTTAGACTACAGTAAGACCCTGTCTCAAACAACAAAAATCAGTTTCAAATGAGGCACAGAAAGGGGGACTAGAAAGATTGAGGGGGACACAAAGGATACAGTGGAGAGGACCTGCGGAGGGGACCAATATCGAGGGAAAACGAGAGCTGAGGAAGGAGGATGCAGAAAGGGCCCTAGCTGAAAAGATGTGAAGTTTGGTTCCAGGGCTGGGTATATAAATATAAATATAAATAATATATATAAAATAAAGGGCCCGGAACCTTCGGACGTGGTATAGGAGCCTGGTAAAGGAATAGGTGGCAGAAGAAAGGTTTGGTGTGGGAACAGCGATCTGAAAAAAACGCACAGATCCAAGTCCCTGAGGACCTGGGGTGAGCTCGAGGGAGGACTGGAGGGGTAGGGGCCGGCACCGGCACGTGGCAGCAGCTGGCCGAGGGGAACCGCGAGAAGGCTCACTCACAGCGAATGGTGTGGAAGGAGGCCCGCGGCCGCTTCTCGAAGCTCTCCCCCAGCCGAAGGCAGTGCTCCTCGCGGTCCAGCAACGGGTTCGCCGTGCCGTTCATGGCCCTACACCGGCCTGGAGCCCCGATCGGCGCTGTCCGCGCGCGACCGCAGCCCTGGGTCCCCGCGCCCGCGGCCTGCAGGACGGCGCTGCCAGGACGCCGCTCCGGAGCGCGCACAGAGCCCAGCCCGCGGCCGCCCGGGGCCCGAAAACAGTCTCCTCTGCTGCCGGGAAGACTCTGAGGAAGTAAGGCCGCTCGACTTCCGGTATCTGGGCGGGACTTCCGGCCTCCCAACGGGCGTCGCGGAGGCGGTGCCATTTGGAGGGAGAAACCGGCCGGGAGATTTTCCACCTTGAAAATTCTACTCCAGAAGCCCGGGCGTGACTGACGGGTGAGTGCGCTCTGACCGGCCCCTGCTGGCGATTCAGCGAACGGAGGGCCGCGAGCCCAGAACGCTGCGGACCCGATGAACGGGAGTCTGCCCGCCGGTGTAGACGGCCCTCGACATGCCCTTGGGACCCTTGGCCTAGTTTACCCCGAGTGTCCCGAGCTAGGTGGTGGATCCTTGGGACCTCAGCCACCTCGGACACTTCCCCTACTTCGCGTCATGATGGCGGCGTGAGGGCTTCGGTTGGAAAGCGATGCGGTCAGTTAGTGGTCAGAAACCTGGGCCTCGCGGACTTAGCGCCGTCACCTCCGAAAACGCGAAGCTGCGCCCCAACCAACGGTGACCCCGCTTCTCTTGGTGATTGACTCTGCTTCTAGTTCGGGCAGGTGTTGCTCTTTGAAGTCACGTTCCACAGGCACCGAGAGTTTTGCAACTAATTCGTAGAAGCGTTCTTTTTCCAAACTGAGCCGATTTCTTGTAATATTTGACTCATTCTGGTTTGAATTAGAATCCGGTATATGGGAAATCGGTCTCTGAATGTAGTAAGCTCTGTGTAGGTACCGACCGTGGCTTGCTCTTTGTGACCTGTCCTACCCCAGGTCCGGTGTTGTATAGAATCAGCATCTCGTGTTGGGTGAATTGAGCGTCTTACAGAGCTCAGGAACCTCTCACGCGGCGTCTTAAAAAGAACTCTTCTAGAGCAAAACTCTTGGGTTCTAAAGAACTGTTTTAGTTGGACATGCCGAGCAGGGCACCCCTAGTGCTTAGGAGACTGACACAGGAGGATGTTGGTTTAAGAACAAGCTGAGCTACATGGGGAATTCAAGGCCATTCTTTACATAGCTAGACTCTGACTCCGAAAAACAGGAGCTGCAGGGATGCAGGTGGGACTGTTAAAGAAACACTAACCAGAATCTCTCTCTCTCTTTCCTGAGTAGCCCCTTATGCACCTAAAGCATGAAAATCACTGGAAATGCATCAGAGAAAACCCAGTGTCTGCAGTACCAGCACAGATTCCTCAGATGATTATAGTGGAGAATCTTCAGCATTAAATGTGTCTGCAGCAACTGAGATGGCTTCTTTCCAAAGGAAAGGACCGAAGGCAAGGGTTCTCAGTGCTGAAGAGGAGGAGAAACTGCAAAGAGACCAAGCTTTGGTGTCCGACTTTAAACAGCAAAAACTGGAAAAAGAGGCTCAGAAGAACTGGGACCTTTTTTACAAAAGGAACAGTACCAATTTTTTCAAGGACAGACACTGGACCACCAGAGAGTTTGAAGAGCTAAGATCATGTAGGGAGGTAGGCTGGTGTTTGTCTTGAGCCATTCTTCAATTAAGATATGTAGAAGAGAGGTCTTTTCTTACATTCCTGTAGTGTGTGTGAAATGGAGAATTGTGTGCATGCATGTTCGTCTGCACGTATCTGTGCACACTCCCAGGTGTAAACCTTGGGTGGTTTTCCTCAGAGTCATCTACCTTATTTTTTTTGGTTTTGTTTTTTTTGGTCTTTTTTTGATACAAGGTCTCCCTGTAGTCCCAGCTGGCCTGGAACTCACTATTTAGACCAGGCTGGCCTTGAACTCACAGAGATCTGCCTGCCTCTGCCTCCCAAGTGCTGGGATCAAAGGCATGCACCACCACACCTGGCTACCTTGTCTTTTTGAGGCAGGGTCTCATTGGGACCTGGGGCTCACAGATTAGGCTGGTCTAGATGGCCAGTGAGCCCCAGGGAGCCTCCCTAACACTAGGATTGCAAGCATGTGCTGGCATACCCAGCTCTCTGTGTGAGTGTTGGAGGTCAAGCTCAGCCTCATGCTTGTGCAGCAAGCACTGTACAGATTGAGATATCTCCCTAGCCCTGAAGAAGAAACTTTATGAAGCCTATCAAAATGTACGGAAGAAGAGAAATGCGCTGTTTGGTCTCAAGTAGTTTTAGCAATTTCTCGACTGTTTCATTCATATGAAATAGAACTTTAGCGTTGCTTTCTATTTACTTAAAGCTAATCTGAAAGTTATAAACATTGCATATTCAAATGGAGTGAACTTTAATGACACATTGAAACTAATAATATTAATAATAATAAACTTCACCATGATCCTTTTGTGAGAATTTTACATGCTCTCTCATTTAAGCTTTATAGTAACTCTATGACGTGTACTAGTGTTATTCCCATTTGCAGAGGAAATTGAGGGACAGAGTTGAAGTGATTTGCCCAAGGATAGAGTACAGGGAGGCTTTGGGGTTTGGGGGCAGGTGGTTAGTTCCAGAGCTGTTAGCACTGTGCTATTTTTTTGTTTGTTCACTTTACTGTTTCCTTCATATTAAACAACCCAGTTTTGAGTAGGTACCAGTTATAAGTGAGGTACCAGTATTAACTTTTCCTTACTAATTCTGTTTATTATTTCCTTCATGGGGTTAGAGACTCTCACAAGCTGAGCCTTTTGCTTCACTGTTTTTTCCTTATGAAAGCATAACACACTATAACTTTTGGGTTCTCTTTTCCCAGTATGAAGGTCAGAAGTTGACTATGCTGGAAGCTGGCTGTGGGGTTGGGAACTGTTTATTCCCACTTTTAGAAGAAGATTTGAATATCTTTGCCTATGCCTGCGATTTTTCTCCAAGAGCAGTTGACTACGTTAAGGTTGGTGCAGCATACATGAATTGTGACCTGCCCTCTTTACCCATTTGCCTAATTCTAGTCCTCTCCCAGGAGCTAACCAGCTACAGTCACTGTGAATGTCACTTTCCTTTGAATGTACTTGTGAAAACAGCTTGAGTCAAGCAAAGTAGGAAAGATATAACAGTACCTGTATAGTTCGTCTATACATCTTGTTTTACAGATTTTTGTTGGTGGTGGTGAATTATTTTAATTTACAAACATGAAGACTTACTCCTGCCAGACATGTAGTGCAACCTTTAATCCCAACACTTAGACTCAGGAGGCAGAGGCAGGCAGATATCTGTAAGATTAAGGCCAGGCTGGTCTACATAGGGAGTTCCAGACCAACTGGGGCTATAGGGAGACTGACTCAAAAAGCAAAAAAGGCTCCTCTAAAATAAGGCCTTCTTCTTTCTTTTTATATATTTTATTTATTTGGGGGGGGGCTGGAGTAATAGCTTGGCGGTTAAGAACACTGGCTGTTCTTGCAGAAGACCCGGGTTCAAATCCCAGCACCCACATGGCAGCTAACAACTGTCCATAAATATTAATTTTTTTTTAATGTGTGTATGCATGTATTGCCTGCATGTAGGTAAGTTCACCCATGTCATGCAATGCCCATGGAGGTCAGAAGAGGCTGTTGGATACCGTAGGACTGGAGTTACAGACAATTGTTAACTGCCATGTGGGTGCTGGGATTTGAACCCAGGTCTTCTGCAAGAACAGCCAGTGTTCTTAACCACTGAGCCATCTCTCCAGCCCCCAAATAAGGCCTTTTTCTACACAACAGTTAGCTTACAAAACTCTTATCTCGTGTTATTAACATCCATTCCAAATTCAGCTTTCCTTGCACTCCATTATGTCATTTAAATCTCAGAAGCTGAGGCCAGTCAGATGTCTCAGAAAGTAAAGTGCTTGCTGTGCCATCCTGACAGCCTGAATTGAATCCCTAAACCCCCAAATAAAGGTAGAAGGAGAGAACCAACTCCACAAAATTGTCCTCTGACCTCCACATGCCCACTATGGCATGCACGCGCCTACACATGTACACATAAAATAATAATAAACAGGTTTTCTTAGATTTCTTAGCTTAAAATGCTCCTGCCCTACTCATTAACCTTTCCCTCCACTGATGTTAAGGTTTTGGAGAAATCAAACCAATTTTTCTGTAATAAAGTCCCACAAAACTGATAGGATTATTTCTTTGTTCCTCTATCCCCTATAGTTTTATAAATTAAAAATTAGATTTAAATGAGGTAAAATAGGAGGTTAGCTAAGTGATAGGATGCTTACCTAGTAAGAGACCCTCAGTTCAATCTTTAAATATCTTTGTTTTAAATCTAAAACAAAGTCAGGCACAGCAGTTCACACACATCTTGAGAGATGGGAGCAGGAGGATCAGGAGTTCAAGGTCATCATAAATTATATAATCAACTTTAAGGCCAGCCAAAACTATATGAGACCCTGTCTCAACCAAAAATTTTTAAAAATCCAAAACACCACTAGGGAAGGAAGACAGAGTAAGGGATGCATATGATTACAGTTCATTGTATGTGTATAAAAGTGTCAATAAATAAATAATATTCTAGCACATGCATAGCTATAATTCCAGTACTTGGGAGGCTGAGGCAGAAGTTCAAGACCAGACAACACTTTATAGTAAGATCTTGGCCATCTTGGAATACCTAGTGAAACTGTCTCAAAAAAATTTTGAAACTGGAGAGATGACTCGGTGGTTAACAGAACTTGCTGTTCTTGCAAGGGACCCCAGTTGGGTTTTCAGCACCCACATGGCAACTCCATTGCCCTCTTCCTGCCTCCTTGGATATTGCACACACCAGGCACATAACCATATAGGCAAAACACCATGCACATAACAAAAAGTAAATAAATCTTAAAAACCAAAAACATTTTGTCAGATGGTGCTGTATCTTGCATGCTATTACTGTCAGGAGTCAATAATGTCTCATGATCTCACTGTAAATGACAGTTTCAACTCTGGTTAAAGGCCTCATTCCTACATTTTAGAAATACTTGTTTTTTGCCATTGACAAATGTTTGGGGGATACTTTGGCAGCATATAGATATCAGTTCCCCATCAACCTGTCAGTTTTACCATCCATAAACTCCTTTTTCAAAATACTATTAATACAGTATAACTTAATTTCTTCCCTCTGTGTTTCCAGTCTTTCATGTTGGTGCATGTAGATAGCACATCATAGTTACCTGTTATGATCTTCTGTAGAGAGGTGTACCATGCTTTATCACTTACCCTGTTGGTGTTCATTTATAGTGTTTGTAATTTTTACTTATATCATCAGGGTTCATGTGACCAGCATCACACACACACACGTCCCAAAACTTCTATACACAGTTCTCTGTAATGACTAATAGAAGGAGCAGAATTCCCCAGAAGAAAAGACTGTGAACATTTTATAATTTATCCAGTAATGTAAAGGCACTGTTTCCCCATTCTCTCAGTATTTTTTGTTTTTGCCAATCTTTAGGCCAAAAAAAAAAAGTCTCCATGATTTGTTTTGTTTTTCTTTCCTTGTTATCAGATTTTGAAGACCTTACAATATGTAAAAACATACACTTTTTCTCCTGCCATGAGTGTTCCTTTATTCTGCTTGTGCCTATTGAAAGCTTATATGGCAGTTACTGTGCTAAGCACTGGGTATGGGCAGTAAAGTCAAGAGTCCCCACTGTGCAGAGCTTATATTGCAGTGAGAATCCATTCATAACCTGTGCCTGTTCTTCTATTGGAAGGTGTTGCAAACATCTTCCAGTTTATTCAGCATTGTTGATGGTAGCCCTTTCTTAACACAGGATTTAAATTGTCTGTTTTTAATAGAATCTTCCTGGGTAGCCCAGGCTGAGGCTGAGGCAGAAGAAAGAAAGCAATGTTCCTCCTGCCTCAGCTTCTTGAGTGCTGGGATTATAATTGTGCACCACTATAGCTACCTCGTGTCTGATTTATTAATCTACTTTTTGAGGTACTAAGGTCTTAACTTGTAAGAATTTTTTTTAAGGATTTATATTTATTTTATGTGTATGAGTATTTTGCTTGCATGTGTGTGCAATGCCAGAAGTGGGCGTTGGATCCCCTGGAACTGGAGTTACACATGGTTGTTAGCCACCATGTGGGTGTTGGGAACTGAACCCTGAACCCTGGTCCTCTGCAAGAGCAGCCAGTGCTCTTAACCACTGAATCATCTTTCCAGCCTCTAGCATAGGAATTCTTTACTCCTGGATTTGAGATAATCACCTATTTTTGTTTGTTTGTTTTTCAGTCTGGAAAAAAATGGTCATACTTCACATAATTTCTTGAGTTCTTGCTGCATCTTCTCCCCGTCAGATTCTAATCACAAGTGTCTTAAGCCATTAGCTGCCCCCTCCCACTCTGAACATGCTGTTCTCGGGGTTTCCCCTTTTTATCTTTGTTTTCAGTTTATGTGATTTCTGTTGTCCTGTCATCAAGTTCACTGATTCTTTCCAAGACTGGTGAACTCATCAGAAACAAAATTCATTTCTCTTGAATTCATTTTCATGGTTTTTTATTTGGGGCATTTAAATTTTTTGTAGTTTGCATCACTAAAGTGACCATCTGATTTTTTGTGTTATCCCCTGGAATTTGATGCCTTCTTCTGACATTGCACAATACAGGTGCAACTTAAATACATGTAGGCAGTACACTCATACACATAAAATAATAATAAATGAGAGCCGGGTGTGGTGGCGCACGCCTTTAATCCCAGCACTCGGGAGGCAGAGGCAGGCAGATTGTGAGTTCGAGGCCAGCCTGGTCTACGTAGTGAGTTCCAGGCCAGCTGGGGCTACAGGGAAACCCTGTCTCAAAAAGACCAAAAATAAAAATAAATAATAATAAATAAGATATCTTAAAATTATTTTTAATTTTTTATTTCTCTGGAGAATAGTGCTTTTCTTGCCCATCCCTCTCCCAGCTGTGGCTGTATCTACCAGTGTCCCCTCTATAACCATGGGCCTGTTCTTGATTTAGGCAGAGCAGTTTCCTCCCGGAGCTGCAGTGGCACCTCACCTGTGGTCTTCGGCTCCAGCCTCAGATCGCCTCTCCTGCAGTCAGTCGGCAGCCTTTTCTTGTTAAAGACTGAGAAAAAGCCAGCACCAAAGAGTCTTCTCTGTGAGAGCCTGGCAACATCCCTGGCAGAAACACCTTCAGAGGGAACAGCCTCTGCGATTTCGTACTTTAATGCCCATTCTCGTTCTCTCACCATCTGCCAGATTGCTAGTATTTTATTTACAAACTGGAGGCTTCTGCCTCAGCTAAGCAAGCACTGCGGTTTTGGATCTCCCTAAAGGAACTTATCTTTCTCTAGACTTTGGAGTAGCAGGTTCTGTGATTTCTGTTCTTTAATGGCTTCATGCATACACACACACACCCATAATTTTGCTGTCTTAGCTTTTTTTTTTCCACTCTAAGTATGTGAGATGTGTCTTTTTTTCTTAGACTCATCTCTGAATTGAAACTGTAAGTCTTTTAGTGTATCTGATAGCTAGTTTTCAGGATACAACATATTGAAGAATTCATTATCTTTATTATTGATCTTTTCATCTAATTATCACTTTATCTTTTATCATATAAAACACTTAAGCCATGGTGGCGCGCGCCTGTAGTCCCAGCACTCGGGAAGCAGAGGCAGATGGATCTCTGTGAGTTCAAGGCCAGCCTGGTCCACATAGTGAGTTCCAAGACAGCTGGGGCTACAGGGAGACCCTGTCTCAAAAAGACTGAAAAAAAAAAAAAACCTTAAATTATCACACACAGAGGTCTGCTTTGAGACTTTCTTGGTGAACTATTTTTCAGCATTTTCAAACCATGCTGTTTTATTACTATATTTTGTAGTATGTTTTTGATGTCTACTAGTATATCTCCTTCCTTATTCATCATTTTAAAAATGACTTTTGTGATGCTAGAGAGAGGAGATGGCTCAGGGGTTAAGAGCCCTTACTATTCTTGCAAGGGATCCAGGTTCATTCCCAGCATGTAATCAGATGGCTCACAATTTCTTGCAGCACCAGTTCCAGGAGATCCAATGCCCTCTGGTTTCCGTGGGCACCTGCACACATGTGGTACACATAAACTCCCACAGACACACAAACATACACATGTAAATAAATCAGTAATAAACTTTTTTTTTAAGTTGACTTTTGCTTCCAGATAAATTAAGACTTCTCATCCAGTAACTTTACATAATACTTTATTCAGGTCCTCATTACATTAAAGAAAAGTTTATTCTTTTCCATCATAATACTCATAACCATGTTGAAATTCACCAACAAGAAACATACTTGTTCCAAAAAAAAATAAAAAAGATACCCCATAAAATCTATGGAAGCACCCCAGTAAGGTGAGCTGGAAGGATTTCACCTAGGGTTCAGGTTTGTCAGGGTTAACCAAGGAGGATTAAGGGAGCAGCAGCGCATTTTATGTTATTTTTTTTTAGAAAAGCATACCTCTCTAAAACACTGTTCGGAATACATGATAAACCATGTTTTGTCCTCTGTTAAAAACAGTTTGCTAAAATGATGCCTTGCTTCCTGTGGCAGCATTGAATATTGTGTGCTTTGTATAGGAGCAGTTTGTTACTTGGTTTTTCCAAATAACAAGTGACTGCTGGCTTCTGTGTAGCAGAACACAAGTAAAATGGGATCTCCTTTCAGTGCCATGTGTTCATAAATATGTCAGGTGGTTGATTAAAATTTCAAGTTCTTTGCTATGTGTGGTGGCACACATTTTTAATCCTGGCAGAGGCAGGCAGATCTTTGAGATTGAGGCCAGCCTGGTCTACATAGCAAGTTCCAGGCCAGCTGAGGCTACAGAGGAGACCCTGTCTCAAAAACAAAAACAAAAATTAAGTTCTTTTTGTTTTTCCCCTTCTAGCAAAATCCCTTATATAACTCAGAGAGATGCAAGGTGTTTCAGTGTGACCTCACTAGAGATGACCTTCTTGATCATGTTCCACCAGAGTCTGTGGATGCTGTTACCTTGATCTTTGTGCTCTCGGCTGTTCACCCTGAGAAGATGCACCTTGTCTTGCAAAACATTTACAAGGTTAGTGATTTGGTGTCTGTACTTGCGGGTTGGCTACCCTGCTCCCCTCCCCTCCCTTCCCTGTAAGCTTGTCTACTGCTTTTTCAGTACCCATTTTCAGTGGGTAGACTGTGTAGTCAGTGTAGGGAAAGAGATTCTCTGGCATAAAACAGTTACTGTAACTCTGGGTTTGTACAGTCCTGTGGCTACACTTCAGAGCTTGGCCAGCCCTGGAGAAAGGAAAATATTACAGTTACCTGAGATCTCTAAAGTGAGGGGACATGTAGTTAAGTGGTCAAGAGGGTTTAGATTCTATACCAGGTCCACTACCTAGGCAAGTTCCTTCACTTCTTCAAGCCTGTTTCTGTACCTGAAAATGTGGTGCTAATGCTTCTGAGATGGTAGGATGTAAGATGTAGGAAGTGCCCTGCTCAGCTTGACTCTGCTAAGTGCTCCTTCAAGCTAGCTGTTATCGTGTTACTCCTATCATCATTATTGGCAAAGTTGGCGAGAAGCTGCTATTGCCACCAGGAGGCTGCTGTAGCATTCAGAGAGAAAGGCTTCACTTATAGCCCCATGTGGTAGCACAGGTTTGTAATCCCAACACTTGGACTGAGGCAGAAGGACTGCCACGGATTCAGTGCAGCCTAACCTACTTTGTGAGGTCCAGGCCAGCCTGGGCTACAAATAGCCAGGCATGGTGGCATACACTTTTAATCCCAGGAGAATCAAGAGACTAATTCATCCTCAACTACAGAGCAAGTTTTAAGGATAGTCTGGGCTACTTGACACCTTGTCTCAAAAAAGCGTCTCTCCTTAAGTCACATGATTCAAGACAAGCCACTTCCCTTCTGTCTCAGTGTCAGTTTCCTTATAGTGATGAAGGTGAGATTGTAAATGAGGCCACTTTACAGAACTGCACTGAGCATTCTCTCTGTTCTTAAATTTTGGAAAGACTTTTGTGTTTTGTGTTGATTTTTTTTCTGTTTGATGAGCTAATTCTAAATTTACACATATGTGGGTCTCTCCCTCCCCTCGTGGGTCGTTGGCCACCGATCCACGAGGACAGAGGGAGCAGAAGTGATGAACAGGTTCAGGATGGCCTGTGAGCACAACGGAAAAAGACTTTCCGGGGAGGCAGATTCAGTGATACAGCTCCAGACTCAGTGAAACAGCTCTGTTTATTCAGTGGGGGTCAGGGAAAATATAGTGTGGAGGCAGCAGCCAAAGCTTCAGCTGATAGGTGCTCATAGTATGCTTTATTTACATGTGGTAGGGGGATCCTATCATCCAACTATAGGGCAATGCCTAATTATCATATAGAAAAAACCTGGGGTAGTTTTATTGCAGATAACTATGCCAAAGGTCATGTTCCAAATAAGGTCAGGCATCCTTGCTTGGTGGCACTTTCCAGGTAAGTCAGGCAGAGCGCAGGAGGCCCCCGCTGAGAAAGGGAGTCCTTCCACATAGCACCGAGCCCCTTAGAGCTATCCGGACATGGAGGACTACAACCTTAGCAGCAGGGTCCCCCAACACACATAACACAAAAGGCCAAAGAATAGCTACAGCAGTCTTAATAATGAGGTGGGGAGAGTTATTCCTTAGCAGATAGAAAGGCTTTTATCAGCTAAAAGAATTAAAGACAGAATGTATGGTATTGGCAGAAATACAGCCTGATAAATGGAATGTGATGGCGAGTTTACAACAAATGGATACAGGCACAGAAATTTGAAGATCACTGGAAAAGGAAACACGTCTCAGTAAATGATGCCACTGGTAGTGCTTATGGGAAAAAAGAAGTTAAATTCCTATGACACACCCTATACAAAAATAATTCTTAGTGAATTAAAGACTTTATTAAAAACAGAAGCTTACACCTGTGATCCCAGCACTTGGGCAGTATAGGCAGGAGGATCAAGAGTTCATGATCATCCCTTGGCTACATAGGAATTTGAAGTTTGTTTAAAAAAAGTATTGCTGGGCTCATGCCTTTAATCCCAGCACTCAGGAGGCAGAGGCAGGAGGATTTCTGTGAGTTCAGGGCCAGCCTGGTCTACATAGTGAGTTCCAGGACAGCTGGAGCTACATGGAGACCCTGTCTCAAAAAGACAAAAAAAATAAAAAGTAAAAAATAAAGAAGTGTTTATAGCCAAGCATGGTAGTACATGCCCATAGTCCCAGCACTTGGGAAATGGCGGCAAGGACGTCAGGTAATTCAGTGTCATCCTCAGCTACATGAGTTCCAGGTTAGCCTCTGATATCTAACAAAACTCTGTTTCAAAAAAGCAGAGAAAAGTCCAGGCATGGTGGCTCATGCTTTTAATCCCAGCACTTGGGAGGCAGAGGCAGGCGGATCTCTGTGAGTTCAAGGCCAGCCTGGCCTACATATTGAGTTCCAGGACAGCTGGGGCTACAGGGAGACCCTGTCTCAAAAAGACCAAAAAAAAAAAAAAAAAAAAATTAGAAGATCGGGTTGGAGATGGCTCAGCAGTTAAGAGCACTGGCTGCTTTTGCAGAGGAGTTGGGTTTGGTTCTCAGCACCCACATGGTGGCTAACAGCTGTCTGTAACTCCAGTTCCAAGGGATCCAATGCTCTTTTCTGATCTCTGTGGACATTGCACAACACAAGTGCACTTACATGCAGGCAGTACACTCATACACATAATAATAAATAAAATATCTTAAAAAATTAGAAGACAATATAAAACTGAAAAACACCAAGTTGGTACAAGTAATTTACAGTCTACACAGCTGACAGATCCAGAGTATATAAGGAATTCCTTTCTGTCTGTAGGAAAGATGAACTAGAGGACAGACAAGCATAATTCTTTATAGAATAGAGCACCACAGATGGGGAGTTCCGTGAAAAGACAGCATCAGTGACCCAGGCAGTTTAAAAAGTTATATGATTTTTTTGGATTAGTGGGATTAAGTCTGACTAAGCCATGTTTTCATGACAGAATGGATCCTCAGGCCTTCTTACACCTTCTGATAAGTAGATAGGTTGGTGTGACTCCTTTAGAATGCAGTTTGACATGGTTTTGTTGAGCTGACTGAGATGTGTCCTAACACTTCCACCCTTGTATGTATTTCTTAAAGAAACTTACCCGCCAGGCATGGTGGCACACATCTTTAATCCCAGCACTCAGGAGGCAGAGATAGGCATCTCCCTGTGAGTTCAAGGCCAGCCTGGTCTACATAGTGAGTTCCAGGACAGCTGGGGCTACAGGGAGACCCTGTCTTAAAAAGACCAAAAAAAAGAAACTTACCCATGTGTACATATGGAAACATGTTCATAATAGTAGCATAAAGCTGAGAATAACCCAACAGCCCAGAGATAGAGTCATAATTGTGATTATGTCCAAATAGTGGAATAGTATGTAGCACTGAAAGACACTGGCCTCAGCTATACACAGTGACGTGCATTCATTTTCACAAAGCAAGTTGCTGGAGACCACTTAGAGCCTGGTGCAGATTTTTAGAGGCCTCCTCTACCCCTCACAAACGAAAGAAGAAAGGCAGTAACACCAGCACAGGCTGGAGCCTAGGGCAGGGATTCTTAGCATTTTGGTGCTACTACCTCCCTTGCTAGTCTGGTGAAACCTACAAACCTTTCAGCACGGTCGTGGCTTTAAGTAAAAATCATAGGGGCTGGAGAGATGGCTGCAACTGTCTTTGCAGAAGACCTGAGCTCAGTTCTCAGAATCCATGTCTGGAGGTTCATAACACCTGTAACTCCAACTCCAGGGGATCCAACGCACTCTTTCTGACCTCCACAGGCATTGCATGACACAGGTACAACTTACATACATGCAGACAGTACACTCATACACATAGAAATTGTAAAAATTTTTTGTCTTTTGAGACAGTCTCCCTGTAGTCCTAGCTGACCTGGAACTCACTATGTAGATCAGGCTGGCCTTGAACTCACAGAGATCCACCTGCCTACTGAGTGCTGGGATTAAAGACGTGGTACCACACCTGGCTAATTTTTTTTTTTTTTTTTGGTGTTTTTGACACAGGGTCTCCCTGTAGCCCCAGCTGTCCTGGAACTCACTGTGTAGACCAGGCTGGCCTCGAATTCACAAAGATCTGCCTGCCCCTGCCTCCCAAGTGCTGGGATTAAAGGCATGCACCACCATGCCCAGCTCTTTTTTTTTTTTTTTTTTTTTCCAAAGAAAACTTGTTTTGCAGAGGATTCAGGTTCAGTTCCCAGCACCCATGTGGTGCCTAACAACTGTCCCTAACTCCAGTTCCAAGGGATCCAGAGCCCTCTTCTGGCCTCTTTGGGCACTGTACACATGTAGTGCACTAACATCAGGTAAAACACTCATACACATCAAACTTAAATAAATCATAGAATCTTAAAAATAGATACTAAAGGGAAACCCTACCAAAATGTGATTTCAGTCATATTTGTTACAAGTCGGAGTTTTAATATGATAGTTGTGGGGTTTTGTTAACATAAATTATCAAGTTCTCTAGTGTTGGTTCTGTTACCATCATTTTTAAGTCTTAGTGAATTCAGGTTTAAGTATGTATACAAGGATATGCCATGATGCGAGAAACTTTAGTGTCCTCATTGATGACCAGTGCCCCGGCACTCAGAGTGAAGAGTGTTAGGCAGGGACAGTAAGGCTAGAACTTGATTTCCACTTTCAAACTATAGCCCTCAGAGCAAGACCTTTTGGACCTTTGGACTCTAGATAAGGAATTTGTGTTGGGGACACAGGCAGGGCATAGGGCAGGGCAGAAGCCTACAGACCTCTTAACCTAGGAGGCAGATTCAGCCTAAAGTCACAGCTGAGGCCTGTTGTCTGTATTTTTGCATTTTCTTGAGGCTTAATATACATGGTATGTACTTTGGTCCTAAGTATACAGTTAGAGGGGTTTTTATATGTGTAAGTAGTCATGAACATGCCCCCTAGATCTGGAATGCTTCTGGCATCTCTGTAAGCTTCCCTGTGCCTACCTCCCACCTGTTCTCTTTGATCATCTGGTTCCTGCGCTCACAGAAATACATAGTAGGTTATCTATATTTTATAGGTATGACATGTCACATTAAAAAAATATTGCCTTGCTGGGTGTGGTGGTACATGCCTTTAATCTCGGCACTTGGGAGGCAGAGGCAGGATCTCTGAGTTCAAGGCCAGCCCTGTCTACATAGTGAGTTCTAGGCCAGCTGGGGCTACTGGGAGACCCTGTCTCAAAAAAAAAAAGCCTTGAACTATCCAGGCCACATTGTCCTTTAGTGACAAATTCAGCGTTCCTCCTGTTTTCAGTCTCCTTTGGAGATCTTTCTTAGCAGAGCTGGAATGACTTTGCAACAGCAATCTGATTATTTTATTGCTGTCATTGTTGTGACTGGCTAGTTAATTTAAAATCATGTGCTTCATTGGGAAGGTTGTAGAGGGATCAGTGGTCCTCAGCCTCTGCTAATAAGACAGCCAGTGGCCTGGGTGAAGCCTAGTATGAACAGCATGGGTCATAAGTTCTCAACCATAGATCTAATTACTTCAGGATATATACCCCAGGCAAGCTTTTTATAATTTATTTTTTTTATTTTAGTTTTTATGAGACAGTCTCACTCTGTAGCCCCAGCTGTCCTGGAACTTTCTGTGTCGACAGCCTGGCCTCGATCTCACAGAGACCCACCTGCCTCTGCCTCCTGGCTTCAGGCAAGCTTTTAAAAATCACAGAATTTTAAATCAAAAGACATCCGTGAAGTTGGATTTCATTTCTTAAATAGAATGATAGAGTAAAGTAGACCAAGTTTGTCACTAGAACACATGAGCTTTGGTCTCTTGTGCCCCTAAGTTCCCTTACGTCTTCAGGCCAGTCATCTCACCCCTGAGTTTTACTTACTGAAAAGTGGACACGACAAGATGAGAGCTGACACACCAGCTTCTGGGATGTGTTGGAAGGACAGGACAGTAACACTGGGAAATTTGTGGTTAGCTTCACTGTGCCTAAACAAAGGAGGCCTTTGTATCTGAATTTTACAAACCAGAAAGCATTCAGAGGGATGAAATTCTTGCTCAAGGCCATTAGGCTTAATGGAAGAACTGAAATGTGGATCAGGATTTCCTGGCCCTTCCGCGAGTATCCTTTCCACTGTCCCTTGCTGCCTTCCTTTCCTTCTAAAATGAAAAGTAAGTCACATGTGGATAAATGTTTCACAACTTGTCCTTCTTTGCCTGGGTGTGATGATGTACTACTCACAGCACTCAGCAAGCTGAGGCAGGAGACTTACTGCAAGTTCAAGATCAGCTTGGGACACATATTGAGTCTCAAGCCAGCAAAGGCTACATGACAAGACCCTGTCTCAAACAAAACAAAACCAGAGAGAAAGCACATCACACACTTTTCCAAAGCAGACAATCTTTTACAATAGACCATTTATTTATTTTTTATGTACAGGAATGTATTGCCTGCATGTATGTGAGTGCACCCATGTCGTGCAGTGCTGCAGAGGTCAGAAGAGGGCTTCGGACTCCCCTGGAACTGGAGTTAAGGATGGTTCGTAGCCGCCATGTGGGTGCTGGGAATTGAACCTGGGTGGTCTGCAAGAGCAGTCAGTGCTCTTAACCACTGAGCCATCTCTCCAGCCCCAATAGACCATTTTTTTCAAATGCCTTAAACTCAGTGTTGTGTGAGTCTCTTGAAAACTTCTGTCAGCCTTGAGGCTTAAAGTAGCTGGTTTCCCACTTTCTACTCTGAGAAGGTATGCTCAGAGTGGAGGGGCTGCTTTCCTTATTCTTCCGACACAGTGTGGACTCCTCATAGCAAGAGCAGAGGGTCGGGCCAGCGCACACTCCAGCAGAGGGGATCACTGTCAAGACCAAGTGGGGAGTCTCACACAGAAGCTCTTCAGAGAGAAGCTGTCAGAAAGCAGATGTCTCAAAACCCATAAAGGAAGTGGCCACATGCTTTTCAGCATGTAAATAGTGCATTTTTGTGTGAAAAGTCTTTCTATCAGCACGGAGAACTTGAAAGGAAATTTTTATTTGTGGATGACCTGTCTCATCCACAAGATGATATTTAAGGCATTTATTTATTTATTATATTTTGTTTTTTTGAGGCAGGGTGTTCTTGCTATATAGCCCTGGCTGGTCAGGAACTCTCTGTATAGACCAAGCTGGCCTTGAGCTCGTAGTGATCCTCCTGCCTCAGCCTCTTGAGTGTTAGGATTACAGCTACGTATTTTCACATCTGACAATTTATCTTTTTAAAGAGATTGTTCATATTGTGGTTATTTCATCTGCCCCTTTTCATAATTATCACAAATGCAAGTTTTAATTCCTAGCCTCATCAGATTATATTGTTTTTGACTGGGTTCCCCAGAGTTACATGCAGTCTGTTTTTCCTTCATAGGTATTAAAACCAGGCAGAAGTGTCTTATTCCGTGACTATGGGCTATATGATCATGCCATGCTTAGATTTAAAGCCGGAAGCAAGCTAGGAGAAAATTTTTATGTCAGACAAGATGGAACCAGATCATATTTTTTTACTGATGGTAAGAAGAATGGGGAATCTGTTTTCCTGGTTGCTGTATCATTGATACGGTGCTGGTTGGTTGGGCAAGGCTTATAGCTGTCCTTAATACATGGAAGTCTCAAGTGCTAAAGCAAGCTGTCATGCACACCAAGTATTCTCTTTCTGTTTACTTGACTGCAACATTGATCAGTACTGTTTGGGCAGGGCTTGCAGCTGTCCTTAGCACAAGTCCCAAATCTCTGGGACAAGCTCAGATGCTCACCACTTAACTAGCATATGGAGCAACCCAGCCCCAGCCCTGGCTTATGGGGAGCTTACAGGCATCTGAAGAGAGTGCCGAGTGAGTGAGCCTGGGAGACTGGACAAGCTCAGACATGCCTCATGATGCCCCTGGGAATTGTGCCAGAAAGGGAAGAAGGAAATCAGAAAATCTCTCACTATACAGCCAGTTAAGGCTGTATAGTAAGATCACAGAGATTCACCACCTCTGCCTTCTGAGTGCTGGGATTAAAGGTGTGTGCCACCCCACAAGGCCAGAAATTCATTTCTTTAAAATAAATGCCAATGTGCCTGGCTGTTTAAAAAAACAAACAAACAAAAAACCCACTTTTTCAATAAAAGTGATTGGCTCTGTTTCAAATACCCAAATTTGCTACAAAAGACTACTTAAAAAGTGGGGCTCAGCCAGTTTCTGGGCCACCTAGACGCTATCTCCAACTACAACAAAGTTAAATAGTTGTAACTGGGGAGATGACTAAGTAATGAGTGCTTGCCACAGTTCAGCACCCATGGTAAAAAGCTAGGTGTGCATATTATCTTAATGCATGGGGAGGCTGACAGGAAGATCCCTGGAGCTTGCTGGCCAGCTAATTTTGCTGAATCTCCAGCATCACTGAGAGACCCTGTCTCAAAAACTTATGTTGAGTGGCTCACACCTTTAGAACCTGAACTCAGGAGGCAGAGGTAGGTGGATCTGTGTTAGATAGAGGCCAACCTGGTCTACATAACCAGTGCCAGGCCACAAAAATAAAAACCTTAAGGTAGAAATCCATAAAGACACTGTACATTTTCCTCTGCCCTACACACATACACGCAATAATAGCAGTAAAGAATATTTTAAAAGGCATTTTGAATAAGAGTATAGCTGAACATCATTTTACTTTTTAGTCTACCTAATAATCTGGAACATGAGATAATTATCTTTTTTACCTTTGTGGGGTTTAGAGGGGATTTGTTTTGTTTTTACGGTGCTGAACACTTGCTAAACAAGTGTTCTACCACTGAGCTGCATCTCTAGGTCAGATCATTTGTCTTTGGGTTTTTTGAAACAAGGTCTCACTCTGTAGCCCAGGCTCACCTTGAACTTAAAATAGTCCTCCTGCTTCTGCCTCCCAAGAGTTAGGATTTTAGGTGTGTGCTATCACACACAACTTGCATTTCTTTCTTTTTTTTTTTTAATATTTTATTTATTATTTTTATTTTATGTGTATGAGTATATTGCCTGCATGTAGGTAAGTGCACCCATGTTGTGCGATGCTCACAGAGGACAGAAGAGGCCATCGGATCCCCTGGAACTGGAGTTATGGACAAGTTGTTAGCTGCCATGTGGGTGCTGGGATTCAAACCAGGGTCTTCTGCAAGAACAACCAGTGTTCTTAACTGCTGAGCCATCTCTCCAGCCCCAGGACTTGCATTTCTATTTCTTGAAATATTGTTTCAGATATTAGAATGAAACTGGAAATGAGTGATTACCATTAAATCTACAAAATCATAAAATATCAGGTGAAAATTTTAAGGTTTCTGAAATTGGCCACATCTGAATAAGTGCATTCTAAGTCATCTAGAACACTCAGTGGCATCACCGTCCTACCCCAGAGTATAGTCTTCGGAGTAATGCCCTTGACACGTCTGTATTGACAGCAAGTAGGATACCACCAAAATCCAACTTGGGGAAACAGTGAGTTCTCTTGGGGTTACTTACAGAAGTATAGACGAGTGGTTACTTAGAAGAGCAGAAATGACTCCAAGACGGCTGCATCACCAAAGCCCACCCCAGCATGGTTGACAGCTCACGAAAGCGGGAAACCTGGAGCTCACTGCCAACCTGCAGGCAGCTCTACAGGCTGGAGAGTGTCCTTTCCAGGCAGCTTGGCTGGTCTTTGCCCATTCCATGCAGCGGTCTGGCTGGAGGATGTCTCTCAGCAGTCCTTTTTGCTTACATATGCTTGGGGATGGTTAATCTGGTCAACTGCAGGGACTAAAGCCTTTGAGTTGTTTCCTGAGCTTCCCAGCAGGATGGGAGCTTCTTCCAAGATGGAAGGTTTTCTCTCAGGGAATTACTATATAGCACCTCAAAGCTTATCACTGCTTATCTTCTAGAATACCTGGCCCAGCTCTTTGTGAATGCTGGTTATGAAGAAATGCTGAATGAGTATGTGTTTCGAGAGACCGTGAATAAGAAAGAAGGCCTGTGTGTGCCACGAGTTTTCCTTCAGAGCAAGTTCCGGAAGCCTCAAAAGGACTTAGACTCTGCCACCATGGGCCTGTGTTACCAGGCTGGTGACTTTGCCTCTCCTTGAAGGTTTGTGTTTGTTTGTTTGGGTCTTTTTGAGACAGGGTCTCCCTGTAGCCCCAGCTGTCCTGGAACCCACTATGTAGACCAGGCTGGCCTTGAACTCACAGAGATCCACCTACCTCTGCTAGGATTAAAGGCGTGCACCACCATGCCTGGAAAATTATATAATTTTTGTATTAAAAACAAATGAAGTACCAAGCATGCTGGCGCGCGCCTTTTGTAAGATCGAGGTCAGCCTGGTCTATAGCAAGTTCCAGGCCAGCTGGGGCTATAGAGGAACCATGTCTCAAAAACAAACAAATAAATGAGGCCTGGAGAGATGGCTCAGCAGGTGAAGACGCTAGCTGCACATCCTTACTACCATAGTAGTAATCCCAGTGCTCCTACCTCAGGGCGGGAATCCGGCAGGAGAATCCTCTGGAAGCTCCAGGGCCAGCTAGCCTGAGGTACACATCATGGTAGAAACAAGGGACTCTGCCTCAACAAGGTGGAAAGTGAAAGTTATCCTCTGGTGACGTTCCACAAAGGAAAGCCGGGGAGCCCAGGAGCTTGAAACGGGGCTGCTTAAGCTTTTTCCATTAACCACTTTTCACTTGAGAAAATTTTTTGTAACCTTTGGTATATAGATATATAAAGTAGGTATATAAATCACACATTTACTGATAAGACAATTCTTTTGTGTACATAAAATGTTATTATTTATTAAAGACAAGCAAAATTGAATACTAATGATATGGATGTGCTTCTTTATTTTTGCATAAAGAAATAGTGGGTTAGGGATGTAGTTTAGTTGATAAAGTGCTTGCCTAGCATGCATAAAACCTTGGGTTCCATCCCCAGCATGGAATAAACCAGGTATCCACCACATGTAATTGAGGTCAGGGATAGGGAGATGGCTCAGTGGGTAAAAATATTTGCGAGTTGGGATCCTCAGAATCCACACAAAGCTGCCTGTGGTAGCATACATCTGTAATCAGCAATGGCAAGATGGGAGGTGGAAACCATAGACTCAGGAAGCTTGAGGGCCAGCTAGCCTGGTGTATGCCACTACAAACACTAGGGATGGATGCCTTGACATAAACAGGTAGAAGGCAAAGATGGACACCCAAGGTTGTCCTTTGACCTCCACTGCGCCATGACACACATGCACCCATATACAAGAACATGTACACACATAAGTAGGGACCAGTGAGATGGCTCAGTGGATAAAGGCACTTGCTGCTTATCCTGATGACTTTAGTTTGATCCCCAGAACCCACGGTAGGAGAAAACCAACTCCCACCTCTGATCTGCATATAACTGTGGCACATGCGTGTACACACATAAATAAATGTAAAGCTCAGGGCTGGAGAGATGGCTCAGCAGTTAAGAACACTGGCTGTTCTTGCAGAAAACCCTGGTTCAAATCCCAGCACCCACATGGCAGCTAACAACTGTAACTCCAGTTCCAGGGGATCCAATGGCCTCTTCTGTCCTCCACAGGCATTGCATGACACAGGTACACTTACCTACATGCAGGCAATACACTCACATAAATAAATAAATATAAAGTTCAAGGTGGTCCTTGGCTACCAAGCAAATTTGAGATCAGCCTAGACTACATGAGACCCCCCCCCAA